GAATGGGCCAATCACAATCAAGTATTCTCCCCACATTCGTCTATGATTGGTCAATTTTTGTGGTTTGCAGCTTGCGACACCGACATGCGACATATTGTAGAACAAGGCCTGTTCTACAATGCGTCGTGTGTCGGTGTCATGGGTCGTGGGCCGTAAGAATAGGCCAATCACAATCAAGTATTCTCCCTATATTCGACTATGACTGGTTAATTCTTGTGACTTGTGACACCGATACACGACGCATTGTAAAACAGGCCTTAATCTATGCTACGTTACGGTAAACTTAGGCTGCGTTATTCACTGTCAGTACTGAAAATATATAATTCAGATCACGTATATTATAGATTTTCAGTACTCGTAGTGAATATCGGAACGCAGCCTTAAGCGCTTATGTCTCGTTTTCTGCCATCAGCCTATCACATACGATATTTCATGAATGTCACTAGATTATCATATTTTGCAATAAATTAGTGTGCCATCACATGCGGCGTTACTTACGTAAGCGTAATCTGCGTATTCTAGTATTTTACTAAAACACGTTACGCCATTCTAAAAGCCTTTTTTCACATAAAGCGTATTTCGCAAAATTTCGAGAAATGCGTAATTAATACAACCAATTGCTGATTAAGGCTTCTATTGTACTCTCTAACAGAAATGCTAAACTAATTTGTGATTGGTTTTTATAATCTGCGTATCTGAAAAAATACGCTTCATATAAAGTCTCGGTTCCCCATAAACGGCACCTTAACATTAGTAATACATTTTCATTTATTCCATAATCAATATTGACTTTCCATTAAGAAATAATGGCCAATGTACTCTCAACATAACCAATGTTGAGCCAATGTTGAGCCAATGCATTGCTACTAGGGATATAATCAGAGTACATGCAGTAAATAGTAAAATTTATTTGTTATTTTTTTGAATATATTCTAAAAATACAAGAAACGATATTATGCAGAGATATTATATGAATTTTCCCTGTATATCAATGATCATTGTATATTTCATATGAGTACAGAATATCTGTATGATATATTATATTCCGTTAGAATACTTGAAAAGATTACTTGTTATCAACGCGTGATTATATATTTCGCTATATATTTATTAATTGCCAATTGACCGTGCAAATATACATTTATTCGATAATTTTTAATCATTAATAACTTTTATTATTAATTACGAAAATCGCAAAATAAAGAACTTTTCTACTAACTTGATCTGCTTTATCTGCACTCAAGCGGTATATTATTAAAAATTACACACGCACTCACGCACGTACACGCGTGCGTGTACATTTAGAACATTATAAAAAATTGTAATTTTGTGTACGCGTGCGTACGTGCGTGCATGCGTGCGTGCGTGCGTGCGTTCGTGCGTGCTTGTGTGCATGCTGCGCGCGCGCGCACACACAGAGAGAGAGAGAGAGAGAGAGAGAGAGAGACACGCGTGCACGCATATATTCATTTATTTTTAATATTATAAATTATATTATATTAAATATATTAAATATATTATATTATATTATTACAAATAATATTTATTAATAATAATATATTTGAAACAAAATTAATGCATGTCAGAAACTTCTTTAATGATTTCAAACTCGTTTTTCATCCCTGTCATCTATCGTCGCACGTTATACAAAGATAAAGTGTTATAAAGTAAGTGTTATAAAGTGTTATAAAGTAAGAAATAGGAAAGGTTTTAAATTGATTTAAATTTTGATTCATATCAATTTCAAAGTTATAAATTTTGGATAGCACTGAGTTAATTAATCAATGCAATTTGTAATATTTTATTAAATTCACTTACTGAATAATAATAAGCTATTGCTCGTAACAAATGCTTAATATATTTGTTATTAATAACAAATAATGAATTATTGTATCGAATGATCATAATAAATAAATACGGGAAAACGGTAAACATCGCGGGAATGAAATTACCGCTTCATTATGGTTAATTCGCGCGCGTACCGAGATGTGGCGCCGTTGGCAGGGCGCAGTGCGGATCGATTGCCGCGCTCGCAAGGCATTATTATTTTTTAGATAGATTTATCAGAAAACTCGTTGCCGGGAGCGATGCATGCATTTACTTTGATTGCTGATACAATTGGAAATATCATGTATTACATAGTAACACGAAATTCATAACTGAGCGACATCAATTCAGTATTCACGGCCGAATTTGCCAAGTGGGGCTTCTTTTCTTTTTAGCGCGAATACTTTAAATCGACTAACGATCAGCGTCGCACGCATCGGCAACGTTGCCAAATGTTCATCCATCGTTGCCAGTATTATACATGTACGACCACGGATATGCAAATATATGACACGCGCTATCTTTAGCGAAGATACTTGAATCTGTTATACGAGCTGATGGTCTCAGGAATAATAACAGAGCGTTACATTATCGACTGTTTCTGAATCCTCGATACAAATCTAAACATTAAACCTATAAGCAATACTAATATTACAATTTATTGTTATCTCAATGTTTCTTAAATATTTATAGATATTTATGATGTGAAAGTATTATGTATTTTTGCAAAATTTTTAGTCAGCAGTTATCATTTGTGTTTGTAAGGAATATAGTTTCTTACTTTGGTCGTAATGTTTTTTAAGAGGGCGTGACTGCGCATGCAGGTTGGAAACCGCACAAATTTTGATATAATCGCGACCTTGATAATGTTTCGTTGATGGTGATACAATAGCTTCGTGTGTCGTCTGATGTCGTCGTGTATCACAGTCGCAGTGTGTGATCGTGTGTACACGTGTTTAATAAGTAGGTCCGTGTTAAAAACGTTATTAATAAAGTCTGCTGCTATTAATCCTTGATTCAATCTTTTATATACGTAAAATTTTACGTAACGTTTCACTAGTGCAAAAACGTGAAACGACATCTTAAGTTTTTGGAACCATCTCTTTGAAATGGTATGTGTATCGAATAAGATACATTTGATGTTTTTTTTATCACTAAAAAAAGCACCTGTCATTTAAATTGTAACAATCAACTTTATGAATATTAATCCGTGATTCTTGCTATTGCGAATATCGATTCGAATCGCTCAAAAAAAAAAAAAAAGTTATGAATCTTCGAAGTTCGCAAATGATCTGACTTTTAAAAATCGTATGGGAAATAGAGAAAACATTTATGAGAATATTCATGATAAGGGGAGTGTTGATGGAAATCGTTTTCTCGTGATATTCTCGTAATTTTTCTCCGCGCATATTGTATTGCCGATACGAAAGAAGAAGACAAATTTCGCGCTCCCTCCCTCTTACCTACCGTTGCAACTGCGTAGCAATAAATTATGAAAACGCGACAATTTTTCGGTTCGCGCGTTCTGTGAATTTGCCCTTATTCGTTATAACGATTCGGCAAAAACGCGTTCACGCGCGTCCACCCGTTGGATTAGTGGCGCCGCATAACGACGGCGACAGCAATTCGAATCGGGCATGTATGTGTACTCGTGTTATATTGCAGCGCATGTATGTATGTACACATACATCATACGAGAGTTAAAAGCAATAGGATGTCGGATGAGGGAATAGAGTCCAATATGGCGGCAGCCGTGCAGCCGAGCGAACGCGCTCTCGAGCTGTGAATGCGCGCGCGTTGCTTACCGACGACAGCCGCGTGAGATGGACCGGTTTAGTCGTGCATTACCTATATTCGTCGTGCCTATCTCGTAGCTCGTGCATAATTAATCATTGGCGATGTTCGTTCTATGTAACACACGTTTTTTGATCTCTTCTTAAACCGGGCCGAGATAGAAAAAAAAGAAAAGATCGCCGTTCGCTCGCTGAATATTCTATCAACAATAATTAGTACTTGGGATACTTGGTTGAAGCGTCATTGCCAGTATTGTCCTCGTTATCCTAGTTCGTCACACGGCAAGATAACACGCGAGGTTTTGCAACATTTGATTTATCATGGTATGTTTTTTTAATATTAATTTTCCGAGAAAAATTGAAAGCAAGGAACACGAAAACGAAAGATAATTTTTTAGGAATATAGAGTACAGTTTCTTAGTAAGAATTAGCTATTTTTATTTTTTTTATATGTGGAAAATTGACTAACCTAGAGACTCTTCTTTGGCTTATGCTTTTTTTTTGTTCTTATACCAAATGACAGGGATTTGCACTCTAATGAATCATCATGTATTTGGAGTAAATAATTGTTTGTCTATGAGAACACATGGAATAGTTTGTAACTTTGAATTTGATACATGTCCATATATGATCTATATTTCAATAAAGATATTTTTATTTGTAACGAAGTACACATGAGATTTTAATTGATTTATGATTCTGATTCCTTTAGTTTGATTCAGATAAATTATATATCAATTATGATTAATTATTATTATTATGACCAAGAATTCTCTACACAGATATATATTGTTTTGAAAATGTTTTTGCTATATTTTATTATTTTGATTTGTTTTTATAATCTAACTTGGAATATATTATCATACTTTTATAGGCAAAAAAGTATGATGATGGAGTGAGCGATGATACTAGTGGGAGTGACTTTGATGATGAAGAAGATCCTGACAAAATTGAAGTACCTGGTAAATTAGAAAATTATACATTACATATGTAATATTTAACAGTAAAATTCAGAGTTATCATTTTATATAAGATAATATAATTATTTTTATATAACTTTTATATAAGTAAAATTTTTATATTGCTTTTTATAAGTAAAATTTTAAAATCTAATCCAAGAGATAATTTTTTTGATTAGGTGGAGGTAAAGATCTTGCGACTGCAGCTGTAATTGGAAGTATTAAGGATGAGAAGCTTGCAGACTTGCCAACAAGTCCTTTGGAAAAAACGCAAGAAGGAGCGTTAAATGGTAAGTCATCTGTAATATTTAAAGCAATGCTTATGTTTTGATTAGTGTTCCTCTTGTTTCATCATAAATTTATCTTTTACAAAAATTATTTTTAGAGTTAAATCAAAAATTTGGTAACAAGATTCCTGAAGGACTAGTAACAAAGACAGCAGCACCAGGCTACGAAATGGTGCATGTAGGAGGCTCTCAAGGTAACCCACCAGGTTTTGTTGGTGCAAATCAGTTGAATCAATTGAATCAATTAGCATCTGGTGGATATGGATTTCCACCAGGGTTAGCTCTTGCAGGATTTAATCCTGCTGCTTTTCTTCAATCAAGTAAGTTAATTGTATTATTATTTATCACAATGAATTTTATATAAAAACATAACTTCTTACAAAGTCTTTTAAACATTTCCTTTTTGCACATAGATGTATGTATGAATATTATCTATGCACATACATTATTCATGAATTGCAAATAAAATTTTATTAATATTATAATACTTATTTAAATTTAATTTTAGTCTAACTTATATTGAATAGGAATGAAATAAAAATAAAATATATTTTTATAAATTAACTATATATTTTATAATTTTTAGAATTTTACATTTTAATTATATCGTGATATTTAATTATATTTCTTAGGCATGGATATGAATGCTTTGATGAATAGTTTTATGGGTATGCCTGGGATGAATATGGGAGTTAATCCTTTTGTTCAGTTTCTTAATCAAAGTGGAATTCATTCTAATTGGTCAGGACTTTCAGGTATATTAATGATAATCTAATTGAAAGAAAATCTTAAAGAGAAAATTTATACCATTTGTAATTTTACTACAGGAAAAACTGTGTCACAAATGTGGATGAATTCGGGTGATCCAACAAAACTAATGCAGCCAAATCTTCCAGAAGAGGAAGAAGTAGACGACGAAGATATGGGTGTTGCAGAAACTTATGCTGATTATATGCCAACAAAACGTATGATCAATATTTATTTTAATTTATTCTTGTGTTGCTTACTTTGAATTAAATCTTTTTGACAATTAACAGTCAAACTTGGACGAAAGCATCCGGATCCGGTTGTGGAAACAGCATCTTTATCGAGTGTCGAGCCAACGGACGTTTGGTATAAGCTTTCCATACCAGAAGAGACAATACGATCCGGTGCGCTCTCTGCACTTCAACTTGAATCTATTACATATGCCTCTCAACAACATGAACATCTATTACCTGACAGTACACGCGCTGGATTCTTGATCGGCGATGGTGCAGGTGTTGGTAAAGGCAGAACTATAGCCGGAATTATATTCGAAAATTACTTGAAAGGTCGAAAACGTGCCATCTGGGTATCTGTATCGAATGATCTGAAATACGATGCTGAACGCGATTTGAAGGATATAGGTGCATCAAAAATAGAAGTATGTAATTTGTGTTAATTAAATTGAATATCGATATCGGAATGTCAAATTTTAATTTCTTTCACTTACAACTATTCTTTTTATCTAATTAAATATTAATTTAAAATATTGGAAATATGTTGATTTTAAATTACAATAAATACATCGGCTTACAGGTACATGCTTTGAATAAGTTTAAATATGCGAAAATTTCATCAGCTGTAAATGGCAATGTGAAGAAAGGTGTGATTTTCAGCACGTATTCTGCATTAATTGGTGAATCATCACAGAGTGGTGGAAAATATAAAAGCAGATTGAAACAGTTGTTACAATGGTGCGGAGAAGATTTCGATGGTTTAATAATTTTTGACGAGTGTCATCGGGCAAAAAATTTGTGTCCTACTGGAAGTTCAAAACCTACAAAGACAGGTTAAAGCACAATTTTATGCGCGTAATTTCTTTAAAACATTTGTAGATGGCTTTATTGACGATATAAAACTTGTACAGGATTAACTGTCTTGGAACTACAGAACAAGCTTCCAAAAGCTAGAGTTGTATACGCCAGTGCAACTGGCGCTTCGGAACCTCGCAACATGGCCTATATGGTACGATTAGGTATGTGGGGCGAGGGTACACCTTTCCCAGAGTTCAACGGTTTTATTACTGCTGTGGAGAAACGCGGTGTCGGTGCGATGGAGATTGTAGCGATGGATATGAAGCTGCGTGGCATGTATATAGCTCGGCAATTGAGTTTTCACGGTGTTGCCTTCAAGATCGAGGAAGTACCTCTTTCCAAGGACTTCACGAAGGTTTACGATCATTCAGTACGACTGGTGAGTTGTCGCATATCCAATGTTTCTTCAATATTTTATTTGAATGATAATCTCGTGCGATTTATTTTAATTTAGTGGGTGGAAGCGATGCAGAGATTCCAGGAAGCAGCAGAGTTGATAGACGCGGAAAATCGTATGAAGAAGACAATGTGGGGTCAATTTTGGTCGGCGCATCAGCGCTTTTTCAAATATCTTTGTATTGCCGCAAAAGTGAAGCACGCGGTGGCCGTGGCTCGTGAGGCAGTCAAATGTGGCAAATGTGTAGTAATCGGTCTACAATCTACTGGTGAGGCGCGTACTTTGGAACAATTGGAACGTGATGATGGCGAGCTCAGTGATTTTGTTTCTACCGCAAAGTCAGTATTGCTTTAGATATCAGAAAAGTCTTGGTTGTAAATTAATGCTGTTATTGTTAATGTTTTAAATAATTTATAGGGGAGTTTTACAAACTCTAGTGGAAAAACATTTTCCAGCGCCGGATCGTAATCGCATTCAACGTCTTCTCGGTTTAGAACCACCGAAATTCAAATTAGATGACGATGAAGATCTAGATAGTGCTGGTGGTTCTGCGGGAGGTAGTAAAAGGAAACCAATTCGTCAAGCAGCACAACGTGCGACGAAGAAAGTGCGTGCTTGGTCATCAGAAGAGGAAATATCGGATGAAGAAAGAAATGGTGCTCACAGTTCCGGTTCCGAATACAAATTAAGTGGTACCGAAAGTGAAGATGATCATCACACCGACGAAGAGAGCAATGCCAGCTCTGATTTCAATCCGTTTTTCAGTGATAGTGATTCTGATATTGGTAAGTCCTAAACTATCAAGTTTTTATTTTAATTTTATTTTATATTTTAATAACTTCATTTTTTCAATTATTGTTTTCAACTACATTGTAATTAGAAAAGGATTTTTAGGAATATATTTTTTATATTTGTTTTTCTAGATCCTTGGGATAGACGAAAGAAAAAGGGTAAAAAGCAGAAAAAACCTGCAAAGAAACGTTTGAGTACACAGGACAAAATCCAATCAATGCTAGTACATAAACAGTCTAGCAACAAAAATAAACGTAATGGTGACACGGCAATCAGTGGGTCTATGAACACTATAGGCGGAAGTATATCTCATAATCAGGCACCACCTAGAGATGCTATCGAAAGGGCATGCAGTATGAAAGAGGAATTATTATCACAAATAGAGGTTCTTGGTGAACGTCTACCGCCAAATACGTTGGATCAATTGATAGATGAGCTTGGTGGACCAGAAAACGTCGCAGAGATGACAGGTAGAAAGGGCCGTGTCGTACAAAGGGAAGATGGTGGAATAGAGTACGAATCTAGGTCTGAAGTAGATGTTCCTTTAGAAACTCTCAACTTGACAGAGAAACAGAGGTGTGTGATGAGTGAAAATATATAGTTGTATATAATAAATTTCAATTCGACGCACACTTATTTTTGATTCATCACTTAATTCAAATTAGAATGACTGTTATTTAAAAATTAATTTATATTAAGCATTTAAGTTAAGATCGGTATTCTATTTCTATCTTTGTTAGGTTTATGGACGGAGAGAAGACTGTAGCGATAATTTCTGAAGCGGCCAGTAGCGGTATATCATTACAGAGTGACAGACGAGCTAGGAATCAAATGCGACGTGTGCATATCACGCTTGAGTTGCCATGGAGTGCAGATAGAGCAATACAGCAGTTTGGACGAACGCATCGCTCAAATCAGGTTAACGCGCCTGAGTACATATTTCTTATATCGGATTTAGCTGGGGAAAGGCGATTTGCCTCGATTGTCGCGAAGCGTTTGGAAAGTTTGGGTGCGTTAACGCATGGCGATCGTCGTGCGACGGAGACTCGAGATCTTTCGCAATTTAATATCGATAATAAGTACGGTCGTGCGGCATTGGAAGCGACAATGAAGACCATAATGGGGTTTGTAATTGATTAAAAGTATAGAAAAATCATCTACATGAAATATGAATGTTTAATGATTTCAGGTATGAGCCGCCTTTGGTACCACCACCACAAGATTATCACGGCGATTTTTTTAAAGACGTAGCAGATGCACTAGTAGGTGTCGGTTTGATTTGCAATAGCGAAAGCACACCTGGTGTGCTAACGCTCGACAAGGATTACAATAATATGTCAAAATTTCTGAATCGCATTCTCGGGATGCCGGTCGACTTACAAAATCGTCTGTTCAAATATTTCACTGATACACTCAACGCTATTGTGACACAAGCCAAAAAGACTGGCCGCTTTGACATGGGTATTCTTGATCTTGGTACATCAGGCGAAAATGTTCGCAGAGTACGATTATATCGGTTTCTGCGGAAACACGCAACTGGTAAGGCACCGACGGAATTGCATGTAGTTCATGTCGAGCGCGGTATGAGCTGGTCTGAGGTCACGAACAAGTTCTCAGAGTTGACTGGGTCTAAAGAGGGTTTCTATCTAAGCCATCAGATCCGCAACGGCAAGCAAACGGCCATTCTTGCGGCCATGGTAGAGAGCGGCAAGAAAAAATCTGAGAGCAAGAAAGATCAGTTTTATATGGTATACAGGTATAATCAAGCAAAATCCACATTGTTAAAAATATTTTATTATATATTATATATTAAGTGATTTTGATGTTAGAAGCTAATAATTGTGAATTATTAGGCCCAACACAGGTTTGCAATTACGACAAGAAACTCTAGGTGAATTAGAAAAGAAGTATAAGAAGGTAAGCGCAGACGAAGCGGAGCCACACTGGACGCAACAATATGAAGCTTCTGTGGATACATGTTCGCATGCGTATTGGAGCGGCAATTGTAAAAATACTACTCTTGGTATAGATTGCGAAGTGGGACTAAGAAGACGTTCCTATAATGTATTAGCTGGTTCTGTACTGAGCGTTTGGAGTCGTGTGGAGAATGTACTTGCTGCACGATCCGGGCATAACTCGAAGATGCAAGTTGTACGATTACGTACGGGTAAGTCAAACTTAAGGTTTTGTTAATTATTCAATTAACATTCTGATAAAATCTGAAAACTTTTAACAATTTTCCATTTTTATTGGTAACAGATGAAGGTTTGAAAATTGTTGGGACACTCATTCCGAAGTCTTGCATGGAGTCATTGCGTCAGGCACTCTCCTCTGATGCGGAAAAGACGGAGGAATTAACATTTTGAATGCCGAGTCACGTATAAAGGGTAAATTTATTCCTCTTGATGTCGTCGATCATGTCGTCGATCTATAAAATCGCGAAATATCTTTAATATCTATGAAATTGTTTTATTCTTGTAGATATATATAGGACCAAGCAAGACTATTGACGTACCTAGAGCCGCGACTTTAGAAAAAGAAAGAGAGAGAATGTGAGAGAAATAAATCTTTCGTCAATATTTTGTCGAGATACGAAAAGAAAAGCAAATTACGAACGCAATTATATGTTCTGGACTGGAATCCGAAATTGTGACTCGTCATCAAGTAGATTCCAAATTGAATCTGATAATAAATCGCGACGAACACGAGTGACCTCTTTCGATTGATATCAAGGATCACAATTTGTTGCTTATTTCTTTGTCATTTATGCAATTGCTCGAAAAAATTATAGCTTTTATCCGTCACACACGAACAGATTTTTAAGAATAGATTTTTAAGTTCATATTGTCCAGGATTTGTAATTTTGGAATTTTCAGTGTTCTATTGCTTTTCCTACTATCTTTCACAGTTCTTTTTCCATTACATATATGATAATTGATCTTAGACAAGAATAATTTGAAATTAGAAATTTTGATGCTTTTATAAATTATTATTCATTATAAAATATATTTAAAAAATAATATATTTTAAATATATTAAACATAAATATAATACGTATAAAAAAAACATTTTACACACATTTATTTATATTCTAAGTATACGCGACGCACACCAACACACACACAAAGTGTAACAT